CCGATTCCTGGGGGCGGGGCTTGCTGCAATCTAAATCTTCCTAAAGCCGGCCCTGCCTGGGGGAAGGCGCGGATAGGCTAAGGTGGGTGAAGATGGGGCTGGAGACCTGGCTGGGAATGGAGTTGCAGCCGGGGCTGCGGTCGGGAGCCGGGCCACGACTCCTGTGGGGAGGCTCGGACTGGCTAAGGTGGGCGAGGATGGGGCTGAAGCCCGGGCCGGGAGTGGAGTTGCAGCCGGAGCTGCGGTCGGGTTCAAAGCTGCAGCAGGCCAAGTGCCAGAGGACAGGGCCACAGCTGGGAGCAGAGCGGGGCTGAGTGGCACTTCCTCTCCACCCCCTATGGGGGTAGACTGGGCGGTGACGCTCCCCCGAAACATGCCCCACAGTTTGGGGACCACTGCTCTATGGAAAGGACCCATCACAGCCCCTTATGTTGCCTCCATCCCCACCCCTTACTTGCTTCACCAGAGTGGCTTCTCTCTGCAAAAACTAATAGTACCTTCAGGTCCAAAGAAAGCGCCACACTGCGCACAAAAGAAGTGTTCTGGGTGCCATGTCCTGTCCAGGGCTGTCACCACTTTCTGTTTGGGAGAAACCGCAAACAGTGAGCGCTCAAACGCCAGTGCTGAGTGCAGCAAACATCAACTGTGCTTAAAGAGCTGAGCCAAGCCCCCTCCTTGGGGATTCAATCCCCCCCACTCCCCTTTACCCTAACAAGGTCAGACACCCCTCTCCTTTCCTCTAGACCCGGGGGAGAAGGGGACACAGTCCCGTGCAGTACTCTGAAACTCAGCAGGAATGCCTCCTACCATGGTATCCCACTGGGGAAAATCAGGAGATCCTTACTGCAGTGAAGATAGCTAGATCCTAATATTCAGTTCAGTAGAGTTGCAATGGGCCAAATTTAGTTCAGTAGAACCTGCCCTTTCATTGCAGGACCCTACAGCAGATGGAGGGAGATAGCTGCACTGGGTCCAATTATTTCCCCTACAGCACTAGGGTGAAGGACGAATAGGGGTCCCAAAACTACAAGAGAAGAGTTATTGGGGTAGATGGATGTGCGCTTTTCTACTCGACAGTACAGCACCAGACTCCCCCGTGCATGGCCAAGAGAGACTCCTCCTGACACGCGCTGGCTCAGGGACTCACGTCGAGGATGGGCCCGTTGCAGTAGTAGCAGCGAGGGGAGAAGAGATTATGATAGTCCTTCTCACAGTAGGGCTGACCATCACGTTCAAAAAAGTTGCGTGACCCAATTTCCTCCTGGCAGTGGGTGCAAACGAAGTGCTCTGGGTGCCAGGTTTTCCCCATGGCTGTGACGACCTGTAGGGAAGATGGAGCAGTTATGGGGGACGACTCTACTTCTTTGCTGTGGCAACTCACGTGACAACACACCAGGTAGAGTTTGGCACTAACTACACGTTCTACTACTCAAGGGAGCCCTGGACTGGGGTAGCATGAAAACTGAATTACCTATCATCTCAGGAGAGGGCAGTCCCTCAAGGGCAGGGTAGAGGTCACTGGAGGAGCTTACAGCGTACCTGGCCAGTGGATAAATAGAGTACTTCAGTTTCTTCAGCATCGCCAGTCCCTTCAGCCTCATGATACAGCCCTCCCAGTTACTCCTTGCTGTAGCCAAGGCTTAGCAACAAGATGCTGCCTTAGACTCATCTGTCCAGCAATTGGTTTCTTGCAGGCTCCACAAACACCTTTGGCAACGGTAGCTACTCCCAGTTTGTTCAGGTCAGACTGGAGGCTTCCCAACATACTGTCCAACTGGCTGCCAGGTTTTGGGGGTGCAGACGGAGGGGAGCTGCCCCCAGCTTTCCCCTGGGCCATGAACTGCAAAGAAAAAACCCAGAGACTGTAAGGCAAGCACTGTACAGCTCCTCAGGGATTTCTGCAGTCTCTGAACGTAAGAACAGCCATACTGGGTCAGACCAAAGGTCCATCTAATCCAGTATCCTGTCTTTCAACAGTGGCCAATGCCAGGTGCTTCAGAGGGAATAAATAGAACAGGTAGTCATCAAAAGATCCAACCCTCTGCCCACAGCTCTTCAGCTGTCCTGTATATGGACAGACCAGGACTTGCTCTGGAGAGGCTAATGTGTCTGCAGAAGCCAGTGAGAACAGGAGCAGGTGCAGAGATGCACCTTTGTTACAATGAGGCTGACACAAAAGTGTGGCTTACCCAGAGACCCCAGGAGCTAGAACAGCAGAGTGTTGAGGGGTGGAGATTTGGCTCTCCTCACCCTCCCAATAAAGCAGAGATTACTGGAAAAAAATGCTTCTGGGCTGCTGGTAGAGCCTCCACGGAGATCTTCCCTTTACCTCATAGGTTCCTGGCTGGCTTACAAAGGCAGAGACATGCCCTCTGAGTGGTTCCCAAACTGTCTCCCCTTCCCTGTCTCATGCAGTTGTTGCTGTCTCTCCGGTCTCTTCTCTCCTCTCCTTCACAGTCTCCTTCTCACCCTCCCACACCTTCTTGTCTCTTCTTTTCAGGGTATTTTCCCCCTTTTCCTTCTGCATCGTTTTTCTCTCTCTTCTGTGCCCTCTTGGGTAGCTCTGACCCCACACCCCAGCTTCACCAAAGGCTGCAATGGGAGCAGCGAGGGAAGGTGGGGAGCATTCAAGGAATCACCTGTTGCTTTACCTGCAGATGTGGCAGCTCAGCAGTAGTGTGTGCGCCTGCATGGGGAGGAGGTGGCAGGCCAGCAAACACTGCACAATACACGTGAGAGATTAACCGGGGGAGTGTGGAAAGGGGATAAGAAAGGTCTTTGGAAGCCCACTTTGGGAATCACCTTAATGAATACTTAACTTTGAACCCTGTTTTCCACTGGGAGGGGGGAACAGATACATTGTCTTTAGTAATAGAACCTCAAGAGGAAGTGGGGAGAAGAGAGAGGAAGTGTGCAGGACTTTGCTCTTTGTGGTCTCTTTGGATGCACAAGCAGCCAATCACAGATCCACAAGCAAAAGGTACCACAAAGCTGCT